TTTTTGCAGATTTGAGAAAGAGGCAGATAATTGTGCCACTTGATTAAAAAAACATGCATGTGATATGGGGAAAGTTCAAAGCATCAGGCAGTTAAAAAGCACACTCACTGATAAAGCACATTAGACCACAAGCCAAACACCTACCATTTTTTCCAGCAGAATTTACCTCTTGTCACAGCAAATCTGTAGTGCCTAATCTTGCCTGTGACCTTATTTAGAATCTATTCAAATGTTAAGACAATTATTGTAAAAATAATCCTAAGATGGTCCCAGTTTAAGTCAACTCCCACTGATGTTTTCTTCCGTAAGCAAACTATGTCAGTTTTCTACTGGGAGACATTCAAAAACAAGTCAAGTATCACAATGTTTATTGATAGATACAAGTATATAAAATCAGGGCATGAACATGTCTTGATAAATTAAGCAGACTTAATTTCAGTACTATAGAGGGACCAATTCAAATTTCTCACCGTGTCATGTTTCACACCCACAAAAACCTCTTCCAAAGGGCATTAAACCATCCTGTCAGCTGATCAGTTTTTGTGCAAGTAAACTGTTTCTTTTTAAAAGACTTGTGCACTTGCCCAGGCTCAAGGATATTAAAACCTAGCACATAAAGCCCATTACTAGAGGTAGAAATACAGGCAATATACTATTACGGCAACAACCATCGATTACAGTTAAGGATTCTCTGTAACAACCAAATGGATAATCAAATATTGCAACAACTCAAGTATTACACTGAGCAAAGTGCATTTCTACAGTATTCAGTGTTGCTATTCAGTTTTCTAACTTAAAAACAGCCTATGATAACTGGCAGCAAAGAAGACCTTGCAACAGACTGCTTCTGCTCGAGAACTTATGATGTAATTATTGCATGCTGCTAATACACTGTTATCTACACATTAAAGATACTCTAAAATTTTTATTGTAGACTATTAAGACATACTACAAAAACCTTCTGCAGAGAATATCCTACTGACATACTTCTGCTTTAAATATTGTGAAACATTACAGCGGAATGAATTTTCGCAGTGGTTAGGTCAAATGCAGTTACATCATAGCAACAGTATGTTTGCACAATTTAAGGCTTTGGCTGGTTCTTTAATCAGCTTCTTCTTCAGATTCTTCTTCTTCGGCAGTTTCCAGCCAGGTTAGCCATTGGTTTACCTGCAGTTAGAGAAAATTGGTTCAAGTGTGCAGACAGTTGTTTCCCCACTATTCACTTGTACAGAACACTCCCTTTCCCCTCCCCACACACAATTTTGGAGGCGTTTCAGCCACATTTTGTGCTAAATGTGTATTTCCAGTAATGAAAATAAAAATTTCATTCATCTTGCCTCACTCCTTCCTACGGTAACAGTACATGAAGTTTTTCTGCATTAACAAGTATAAACTTTAAAGTTCCTGAACACTCAGGTGCAGCAGAGATCACTGAAGACTAATCTCATGTTAGCTATTTTACCTGGAATAAAGCTTTGCCTTTCCCCGGAAACTCTTGAGTAATATCTTCTTTCCATGCCAGGAAGGCTTCTTCTTCAATGATCTCCATGTCATAGAAATGAACAAAGAAGCGCAGTAACATGCCTATGGAAGTAAATGTAAACTTAGTGAGCTTTTTTTAACATTCTGAACAGCTTACTTGACTCTAAGAAAACACAGTAAGAAGCCTGAAAGCCATACACAGACACAAGCAAGCAAACAAGTTAAACTCTGGATCTTAATAAAAAATCAAGATCTTAATGCACATACCTTTTGGAAAGTTACTGTTGTAGCAGTGCACCTGGAGTGCATATAAAGCACTCACTTGCAGATCAACATGGTCATGAAGGAACTTCTGCATTACTGGCTTGAAGGAAAGAAGCAGTTGTTTTTCCTGCTCTAGCTGCTCTTTAGATGGAGCAGATGAAGAATCCGATTCGTCACTAGGTGGGTTTACTTCACTAGAAATATACTGCAAAAAACTGGACAAAAAAAGAGAAATATTAAGTTCTGTAAGCTACAGAAGATAAGCTTTCATGTTCTAAACCAGTTAAGTATTCCCCCAAGATCAATTTGCAAGCTATTACCAAAAATACCCTTCTGTACAGTGTGTATACAGCGGTTTAGTTTTGAGGCTGACTATGCACCACAAAAAATTTAGTTTTGCTTTCTGTTAAGGCTCTGAGACATTTTGGTAAAATACTAGGCCTAGACTACTTTCTCAAGGAAGAGTAACATTTCATACTGATGCAAGGCTGGAGACCTGCTTTTCTTTTCAAATACTTATGTTTAACACAGGGGAGGTTCACTTTGCATGATTTATCTCCATGTACTATACACCTTTTTTCTGCACAGAGCTTCCTGTCAGCCTCTATTGAGTCAATGACTGGTAGCTTAACAAAACATGTCTAAACTACACATCAAGATAGCATCTCACCTGGTCATCAATATATTCACAAATCCCTTATCGACATGCAGTTTGGGTGAAATGTTATCTTTAATCCACTTATAGATGGCTTGAGGGGATGGATCCGATTTTATTTGCTTTAGCAGTTCCTTCTCCAGTTTCAGAAGTGGGAACAAGAAGCTTAGCCCCTTCCCTTCTAAGATCTCCAGCATGCGGTCCTTGTTCTGGTCAATTTCTGATAAGTAAACAAGAAAGACCCACTTGAGTGCTAGGGCTACTCAAAAAGCTATCATCAATGGTTCACAAGCTAAATACTATTCTTAGGAATAATGACAGATGATACGCATTAAAACCTTGCATGTTACTTTACTTTGGTGTGAACACACTAGAGCAAGAAATATTTGGCGTAAGGTAACAGATTTTTGTGAGAGTTGCATGTTAACTCTTACCTGGTAACATTTTCTGCATATTCACTTTGCTTTGTTGGAACAATTCTGTTAGCCATTCACGATCTTGTAACTTAGCTAACTGCTGAAGGCAAAGCAGGAAGAGAGGGAAATGGGTGCCACTTTCCAGTGGTTGAGCCAGTTCAGAAATGCTCACCAGTTCTGAAATAATGGCACGGGCTGCAAACTGTGCTAAGTAAGATTTCACCAGTGGGATATCCGCCTCCAGTTTGG